TATCTATCTATCTATCTATCTATCTATCTATCTATCTATCTTATATTTTACCATTTTCATTTTTTATTGATAGTGACTTTAGAGCTGTACACATGGGGAAAGAGAGGGAAGACATGCAGCTAATCAAACATGAAAGCTCCAATTACATAGTATTCATCTTAGCCACTCAAGCACCGGGACGCCCCAGTAAAATTGTTTATTGAATATGAAACGTACGAGTAAAGATTGGCAGATGAGAATGGTGGCGCAGGATGAGTACTGTGGGAAGGGGAAGGCTTTGGGGAAGAGACACAATAGCTCCTGGGCTCGGCAGACGCCTTGGGGATCAATGAGAGAGCAAAGGGGGGAGTCTTGGAGGGGCACAGAAAAATGGGAACAAACGGGTATACAGGGCAAGTAGGCATTTATAGAAACAAGACAGGAAGAGGGGTGTTTGAGGTGTGGTCCTGCTCCTGAGCTGCATTACGTCTAATACAGCTTAGTTTTCACATCTCTGGTTGAATCTGTGTGTTTCCTTGCAGGTGGGATCACAGCGTACCAGTCGTACCCGTGGAGTAGCATGTACAGTCAACCAGCCATCCACCAGCGTGCTCAGTGCCCTCCAACCTACCCCGGCAGCTTGGAAGGTGCTCGAGATCACCAGCCGCCCTCCTCCACCACCCTGCGCCCCCCTTCATTCTTCACCCGGGGGGACCACGGGTCCTCGCATGCAAACTCCCAGTGCTCATCACACACCCACACACACACCTCCACCAGCAGCACAGCCGTCCTCCCTCCTGTGTCTACCCTGCGGCCCTCTCGCCTCAGAGCGGAGTTCACTCCAACCAAGGCTACATCCCTGCTGTCTTCTCAGGTCAGCCCTGCCTCTCCAGACAGCTCTCCGGTGCCCCCTTGTGTCAAAATTGAGTATGACAGCCCTCGAGAGATTCACAGCCACTTCCACTGCGAATTCTCCCCCATACATTTTTGACTGACTGTTTGTTTGTGTGAGAGAGAGTGTGATTTAAGTATCGGTGTTAATGTAAATAGTGAGTATTTCTGTATTTGTATTACTATTAGGATGTTCTCAGTAGAAACATTGGTCTGCATTAAGCTTGGCTGCAATAAATGCACATTGTTCTGTTAATCCTTTTACTTTTGCATTTAACTGTCTTAATTTAAATCAGCATTCTCCATCACATTATTATGCAACATATTATTGCTCAAGGGACTGTTTTTATTGAGACAGTTTAGTTGCATGCCGGACTGAGAAGGGCGTGGGAGGTGGGTTAATAGCCAAACTTAATTGTTCTCCTCGTCCCCATCCGTATATGCGTGCATGTTCACAAATCACCAACATTTTCAATTAAGTGCTGGTTGCAGACACACCAATAAGCCTTGAAACATGGTGGTGATGATGATGATGGACAAGTGATTAAAAATCAGGTTTTTGAGCATGATAGTAAGCGAGGAGGAAAAGGTTTAGGATAGTTGGCGCACAAAGGGATAGATACATATTTTATTAAACCCAAGGAAATTTCTGCATCGACTATAATAACCTCCAAATGTATATACTTATTATTCAGCTTTGTTTGCTCAATCTCATGGTTTACTCATGGCCTGGTTACACAGCCCTCAGGTCTCATATGCTGCTTATTTGGCTTCAGATCTGTCTTCGTGCCACAAGAGGGCAATGTTCCGTCATGAGAGACGACCGCATGCTGGGATTTATTCTGACAGCATTTTCTCAGACATCCTTCAATCTGGGGATGTGTGACAGTCACTAATCCGATTGGGGGGGAAACGGGACCGAGTCGTTTCTAGGGTAGAGGTATCCCAGACAATCACTGATACAGCCCAAATCCTTAATCAGTGTTGCCATCTACTGTGTTCTCACACTCACTGCACTCCCCGCTTTGTTTATTCTTAGTATGCAAGTCTGTTGTAAGTGCTCGTGGAAACCAAATCCCGATATGAAACTCCGCCTCTGAAAGAGCTGAAGGCATTTTTCCCTGAGACTAGAAAAGACGTTTGAGACCATTGTGTCATTTTTGCTCTCAGTAGTGCAAGTAAAACAAAAAGTTTTCTTGTTTTAACTCTAGTTAATATTCCTGATTCGTAGTCCTGCTGTATGTAAAAGTAAAGTTTGAAGTACAGCTTGGATGATGATGATGTGGGAGTAAGAGAAGGAACTGTTTGATGAGAACGAGGAGGAGGTGGCGGGGACCAGGGGAGCAGATAAAGGAGGGGGGGGGGTGGGGAGACGGAGGAGTGAGGCGGCATGTCGGTCTGGGAACAAGGGAGGAGAGTCGAGATGAGCTGTTGCTATGGGAGGAGAAGAGGATGATGGGTGGGCTCTGCCAGCAGGCGTGGGAGGGAGAAGAAGATGGGGCTGAGGGAGGAGTGTTTGTAGCACGGGGGGTTCTGGGATGAACAGAACTGTTGGTTATGTAACTGCTGTATTTGGGTTTTTAATGAATCTCTCTCTTCCTGCTCACTGGCTACTGAGCTGTTACTGTTGGCAGCAGAAGCACAGCATAAACACACGCGCATAAAAACTTCATTTCTCAAACTCTCTTCCATAAAGAAACACACGACACATTCATGTCAGGAATGAAACCCTGAGTGTGAGAGCTCTATTCAAACTCAGTGTAGCAACACTTCTGCACTGGATTTTGGTTGTATTTGTGCTAATGTGACGCCTAACGCTGTGTGTATCTGTCTCTTGTGTCTGTACGTTTCATCTTTCTTCACTTTCATGTGTCCGTGAGCTCGCATGTGTGACTGAGGAGGGTTTCATGTCGGCTTAACTTTGTAATCAATTTTTCCAGGACTTCCCTGTTGTGAACAGAGAGTGCTCAGAGCACAGCTGGCAGGCATGTGTGTGTAAGCACATATATATATGTATATATATATATGTGTGTGTGTGTGTGTATGTGAGAGAGTGCGTAAGCACAGGTATGGGATGCTTTAGTCCGCCCCGATTCCACTGTGTCAATATTTGCTCAGTATTCTGAGATTTGAAGAAAGGGAACTTGTTTCAATATTTATGGATGCGGTCAAACACGAAGTCATCGCAGTCTTTCCAAACCCTGGGACTGTTTGGACACACACACACACACACTGCTTTGATACAGTCCAGTAATGGAGTTTGTTGACATTGGTGGAAAAAGTTTATTGATATAACTGATTGAAAGTAATACTGTCGGTTGTGGAACAAAGCTGAAACATGGTTTGGAGATCCTCCTGTGCTTTGGTTCTCGGGTTCAGGTGGCATCAGGGTGTTTGTTCTGTAAAGATACAACAAATAGACTTTGTGTTGGATTTGGAGGAACAGGGGACACGAGGGAGAGTGAGGCTGGGGAAAACAACATCAACTTACCAGATAAAATGAACACACTTGCCTGTTGAAAAGCGGTGTAAACATGAAGGCCCAGTTTAAATATCCCACCTCACCATGTTGATAGTAAGTATATTTTCTGAGAGTTATTTGAATGTGGCCTTGTATAAAGATGCTTAATGCTATACGGTGTGGCTGAAATGGGGGAATGTGTTTGTTTTAGACTTGTTTCCATTTACACTCTGGGTCTGGCAGTGCTATTGTGATAAATATCCTCTAAATTGAGCTCCCCGTGGTGATTTGGCTGTTGGCAGTAAAAGACGTCTTACAGGAACTTTTTCCTTTTTCATTAAAACGGCAAATATGCTTTGTTTTAATGTTATATTTCTGGTTTGCTCCTGAGAAGGATTTGGATAAGGAGGAAATAACTGCTTCTGGGGTTCTAGTACATTTGCTAAAGTTATTTGTGAGTTTGAATGTCAAACCGTTGTATTGGTTCTGCAAATTATGACAAATTATTGTTGTTGAATAGTCAACAACAATTTTGAGAATCGATGAATCTAGGGCTGCATTTAAGGCTTTTTTAAGTGATTGCTTAATAAGCCAATTATTTTCTCCATTAATTGATTAATCGTTCTTTAAAATGGTAAAAGAAGAAGTCCCATTATAATTTAAATTGTAAATTAAGTGATGATCTTCAAACAGTCTGAACACGTTCATTTTAATTTCATCATCATATAAAACTAAGAAACATCTGAGAAGCTGGAACCAGTGCATTTTTGCTTAAAGTATCTTTCACAGTTAAAGTCTATATTGTAAACTGTTGACATTGTATAGACCTTTCCAAACTTCACAACATAAACATGCTAAATGGGCCCCATTGTATTTCCTGTTGCAACGTTTGTATATATATATAAATATATATATATATATATATATATATATATATAATATTAATCTGATGATTGTTTCAGGTACATTTCGTCAGAGTCATTGAAGGTCAAAAATGCCGAACGTTTCCTAATTCAAGTGTACATGTAATGCTTGACATTATTGTAACGCAACTATCTTCACACTGTTGGTCAAACAAAACAGGACATTTCAAGATTTCTTGTTTAACAAATCATAAAAAGTAATCCTAATAATATTTTCTGACATACGATGGACTAAATGAGTCATTGAAACATAATGTAAGAACTCTTTAGTGAGCAGCCCTACTTCTAAATTAGAACTGACCTTCTAACATTATAATCGGGGGTTTTGATCAGTTTGGACACATTTCTCTTCTTTCTTAGTGGCCACGTCTCATCGGTCCACTTTTATAACTCTGAACACGTGGACCGGATGAAAATGTAGTGAATTTCATGGCGCTGTGAAATAGTTCTCATATGCTTACGGGTGCAGGTAAGCTCGTCCAGCTTATGTTTGTGTTTGTCCTGCCTGCCAAGCAGACGAGGGTTACATAACCTGTGTGTGTGTGTGTGTGTGTGTGTGTGTGTG